GGCCATCCCACTTGTCCTCTCTGGAAGTCCATATGGATGGGTACCTTTTCCCCTCTGTCCCAAGGGTTTAACTCCTGGTTTCCCTGGGTCTTTAGACGTAGGGTAAGATGCACCCACAGAGCACAGGCAAGCAGAGGCTTCAAATGAAACAAGGCAGGAAGTGAAATGAGCATCTCGCTGTGGCGTGGAATTAAATCCTGGATTTGCATTAGGCTGAGTGGAGAGTGAGGAACCTGCATCCCGAGATTAAAAACACCACGGAGCAGCGCGGGCGCCGCTAATTGTGGGTTTACAGGAGAAAGGCAGAAACACGCTGAAAAGTTGGCTCACAATGCCACTTGCTGCATCCTAATCTCCTGGTTCCTTTCTTGCCTTGCTAATAATAAGTAAGACTAATTTAATTTTCACAACATCCCAAATCTGTGGCTCTGTGATTCAGAGACTTAATAAGATTCTCTAGCTGAGCCAAGAAAAGCTTAGTGGTTTTGAGCTTACTTTCTGTTGGGTTTCAGTTTCAGGACATTTGTGCAGTGTTGTTGTTTGTCTAAAACAAAACAAACTTGTATTCCATCAGGATTACTAGGGTGTCTCTTTAAATTATTGTATGTGTAAATTGGTTGTGCTGGACTTGGGTAAAATCTTGAGCAAAAAAAGGCAAATTTTGGCAAAATTAAAATGAGTTGTTGTGATTTGCCACACTTTTTTTTTCCCTAGCTAGAAAAGAAACAAACCTATTTTGTTTCAGCCTTTTCTGAATAAAAGGCTTTGAGATTTTCCTCTTTGAAGCAAGTTTTCATTTGGAATGATCTTCAGAGCTAACTTTTGTTAAAGGGGCTGGAAAGTCAAAGCAAAACATTTGTTTCAGTCGACCCCAAATGAAATTTTTTTTTTTCCTTTTGAAACTTTTTTCAGGGTTGCCAGTGAACCGAAAAATCAGTTATTCACCCAGCTTTATATCCCACATCCTGACAGAAACTTCAGAGCCCCACCGTGACTGTTTATGTGGTGCAGCTGCCCCTAAGCCCTCCGTTTATATGTTGGTAAATTATTCTGCTGCTCGGGCCGGTGCGAGACACTAAACCAGGAGTGAGTGCCTGGGTTTTCTCCCTTGGGTTAACAAGGAGGCAGCATTTTACAAAGTGTTTTTAACTCTTCTTCTCCATGGCAGGTGTTGCCTTTGCTGCCCAGGTACAGCTGCAGGACCTGTTTCATGCTAAAGGCTGTGCGAGGAGCAGGCGTTGGGAGCTGGGTTTAAAGCAGCAGATTTGAGCTCGGCTTTGGGGGTAGCACTGCTTCAAACAGAGGAGTGCAGTAATCAAGGAAAGAAAGTCCCTAATTTCAGGGTTTACCACAGTCAAACCCCACATTTAAAATGTGCTTTTCTTATGGTTACTCTGGGTGATAAATTATATATTACATGAAGCTATTGGGTTGTTTAACTCTTTTTGTCAGGGCACATTCTCTCTGTGCAGAAAATTATCTGCAGATGGCACAGGGCATTCTGGAACAACAGAGCTAAATTTGCCTATTTCACTGAAGCTGGTGGAAAAAAGTTTAGATTGGTTGCTTTAGAACAGACATCATAACCAGAAATGGTTGGGCCTTGCTTGTCTGGTACAGATTGCAAGTCTGCTGGAGAGGAAAGAGCCAGGCCAGATGGGTTTGTTCTGGCTGTTTATCTTAAATCTTAATTTAGGCTTAAATCTTGATGCCTCTCCCTCGAAGCACTGAAGCATTTAGAGCAGCACAAGAAAACAGGCTCGGTGTGTGCATGTTCCTGAGGCTGCAGTTTTCCCTTGGTCCCAGGGAGCCCTTCCCAGCCAGCTGAGCACATCTTGGCATCCAGAGCCAGTGCCAAAACTGGTTTTGCCTGGGCAGGGGTGCTGGGCAGGCTGGAGCCACCGTGCCTCCTCTGAGCCTGGTGAGGATGTCCTGGACTTCTCTTTATTTTTAAATTACATCTTTTTCATCCTCAACTTTGGAGAGCGCTTACCCTGCCCCAGGTCCAGGTGTGAAATGAAGTTAGTCGGAGCCACATGGATTTGCTATCCCCCAGGAGCAGCCCAGGGACTGTGGGAAGGTTGGTTTTCCTCCCCTCCCTTCTAAGGGATGCTTCTGTTCTGTTTGGCAAGTCCCAGGCCCTTGGAGCCATCACCTCATCCCCAGCACCTCTGCTCCCCACGGGGACCTGCCTGGGAGCGGCTGTGTGGTGGCTGAGCTGCAAGGAAGGTCACATCAGGAGCACAGGGCGTGGGAGGGGAGGCAGGAATAGGAGTTTCTGGCAGGAGGGAGCAAGCTGGGACTTGCCACCTTTCCAAGCTCATCCAAGTTGTCCCTCCTGCCCAGCACGTTTCTCTCCCTTTTTCCCCCACTCCGTTGCCTGGGATGACGCAGTCCTGGGTTGTCCTCGCTTTCATGTGTGGGACTCCAGACTGGTGGAACCAATTCGTGGTGGAAGATTCACTGGGCACATTCTGGACCTTCTTTGCTCCTGCAGTGTCTGGTTTTACATTGTGCTGTGGCTGCCATTCTGCATCACTCCCATCCCCAGAGCCCCTGTGACACACCACAGGTGGAGAAATCATTGTTGTGCTCCTCTCTGCGGGTAATTCTGGGTGTGCTGATGATCCCTAACCCACTAGGTCGAGGCTTTTTAATAACCCAAACTGAGTGGCAGAGGTGGTGATGAGGTGAATTAGATTTCCTTGTTTCTGGTTGCATCAGAGTTCTTCACTTGGGCTGGACAAAGGAAACCATCCAGAATGCAGTTTGTACTAAGTAATAAGCCACAAGACCGGTGAGGCCGCACCGTGTTTGGGGGGTCATGTGTAGCACGAGAGGGATGGAGGGGGTGTTTTGAACTCTGCTTAGAAATTCTGCTCTGTTGGTTGCTGTTGCTGTGTCTCTTCAGGGTGACATCCTAATGGAGGTGGCCTTGCTGCCACCATCGTGTCTGCCAGAGCTGCATCTGAGAGGGCAAAAAGAGCAAACTGCAAGCCCAGCTCTTCCCTGGCCCCCCTGCCCTGTTGTTTCCCTGAATCCTTTTCCTTCCCAAGGTGGGAGCAGCCTGGCTCCCAGAGCAGCACAGTCTGGTTCTCCCTCCCCGGCTTCGAGTCCGAGTGCTCCGAGGCTCCTCAGTGGGAGGGGCTGCTCCGAGGAATGCGACAGTGACGCTGTTGGAGCACAGCCAGCTCGGGCTGTGCCCGTGGTGTCCCTGTGTCACAGCGTCCGAGGGTTGGACGGAGCAGCTGCTGCGTGCCTGGATCCACAGGTAACCCCGAAAGGCTTTTCCTGTCCTGGAGCTGAGCTGCTTCTCTCCTGACCCCCAAGCTCTTCCTTGGATGAAAGCTCCACAGCTGGGACCGAGTCTTGCTGCTGGAGCTGGATTGACTCTGGGCTGCCCCACCCAGCCCCTGTGTGGTTTTTGAGCATCACTGCTGCTTCCAGTGGTAGGTATTTTCTCCTGGGGAGTATGATCTGGGTCCAGACCCTGCTCTTGCTTTCATCCAGTGAAAGCCAAAGTCTGGCAGCTCAGCCCACCAGACCCTCCTCAAACCCTGGTGTAGCCTAAAGCTGTGTCCCCACAGCCACCGAAGGGAAGTAGGATGCTCTGGTGCTTTAGAAATGGAGTTACATTCAGGACAGATATTCTCCAAACTGAGAATAGGTGCTCCTCATCCCTGGAACTGCAGCATGTTAACTTGAGGCTAGAGGAGAGTGGCCCTCAGTTCCATTCAGGGTGGCAGAAGCAGCTTCTTTGCACTTCTGGCTGGAGAAAGAGGTGCAGGAGCAGAGGGCTGGGCTGGAAATTGGCTGGAAATGGAGCCCCCCTTCCATTCATGTCCCAAGGCAGCTGCCAGGCCTCACATGAAAATGCTGCTACTAAACCAGTCAGGACTCCAAGCCCCCCTCATCCACAGCCCCTGGGTTTGTGGCCCCTCGATTTTCCCAGTGGGGTCTCCCACTTTCCCCCTCACATCCCTTAATTAAGGTTATACCAGGCAGATCTGCTTCACCAAGTTTTCCCACCAAACAGCAGGCAGGGCAAGAAATGCAGATGACTTCATGTGACAGTTTGGAAGGATTTAGGTGGAAACCTTCAGCTGAACTAAGGTGCCACTTTGGCTGCCACAGTATTAACCCCAGGCAGGCAGGAAAAGGGTGGTGGTGCCTGCCTTTTTCTGCCATCAGGGCAGGGCAGGGGGAAGCTGTTTCTATCCCTCTGTGCCTCCCACCCCAGCAGACCCCCCACCCAAGAAGGACCAGGCTGTTCAAATTAGCTCTTCCAAAGGGTTGCAAGCCAGGCAGTAAAGTCCCTTTGGAGCAGCCCAAATAATCTCTCCTCCGTGCAAACAGTAAGGCAGCATGCAAGGAGAGCAACAGCCATGTTGCCCTGCCTGACTGTTGTCTTCTAGCAAACTTCCAGGGGTTTGCAGCTTTTTTTTTCTCTTTTTATCTCCCTCTCTCTAATAAATGCAGAGCTTGGCACAAGCACACGATCCCTGTGTTCCCTGCTCACACCAGGAAAGGGGCAAGTACTGAAGGCCAGAGTGTGTGAAGGAGAGGAACAGGGTGAAGGGGAAAAGGAGAGGAAACAGGAGTGGAAATAGTCCAGGGAGAGTAGCATGAGGTGGGGAAGGCAGGCCCAAAAGAATGGAAGGAAGTCCTTGCAGGAATGGGCTATTTGAAAGCTGTTCCTTCTGTGCCTTCCCCTGGCAGATGCTCTAGATCTGGAGATGTGTGGGGAGGATTCAGCTGTTTTGGGGGGACATGTTGCTTGAAAAAGGGAGAGGGACAGAGGACTAAAAGGATCCTGCTCCTGACCCCAGAGCACCTGGCACACCTGGAGTGCCAGAGGATGAGATGTGGGAGTCAGTAGGTGTGCCCAGCCCACTGCCACACGCAGAACCCCTGTGGCTGCTGCGCATGAGGCCTTACAGCTCCTTCCCCCTCCCTGGCCACCTTGTTCTTTGGAGGAGAAGGAAGGGTGGGAGGGAAAACCCATGATCTTGCTGGCCTGCTGCCAGTTGCTAAGGCAGTTTCTTCAAAAGGGAGGGGAGCTGTGGAAGGAGGGAGCTGCCTGGAGAGGAGGCAGATGATGTACGCAGGGACCAGGCAGAGAGAGGAGCCTGCAGCCACCAGTGATGGAGACAAAAGGGACCCGGGGCTGAGTGGGAGCAGGGGGAAGGAGCCCAGAGGAGAGGGGTGAGGTGGAAAGGGGCAGGGGGAGAAGCAGCTCCTTGCACAGCTCAGCCAGGGAGCTGGCATCCCAGCAGACCTGTCTCAGCTGATGGGTGTGCTGTGGTTCACAGCAGCTCTGCGAAGCACTGCCTGTGGCAGGAGGGGATTTCATTCTCCAATGATTTTTCCCTGCTGTGCTTCCTCTGGTGAGTACGAGATGCGTGTGGTCCAGGGAAGCGAGCTGAGCAGGGCTCACTCCTAATGCCAGTGCTGGAGGAACACGTCCCACGTGGATGTGCAGGTGGGAGGCAGGGAGGGTTGCCCCTCCTGGCTGAGGCCACCAGCAGCCTGGTGCACAAGGGCGCTTTTGCCATCCCCACCATGCCTCAGTGCTGTGTTTGGGTGTCTTTCTGCCCACACTGCAGAAACAGGAGCGAGGTCCCTGAAAGCTGGTGGCTGCCTGGCCTCAGCTCCCTGATCTTCCAGTTACTTGGGCCCAGAGAGAGGAGCTTGGTGTGTCTCTTGGTAGCTGTGGAGTCGCTGCCCTGGCTCATGATACCAAACATCTGCAGAGCTGAGTGCAGACCCGGGCCGATGCTGCTGGAAAGGAACCACTGTGGTGCCTCCTTTGCCTGGAAACGCCACTCCTGGGGCACAGGGGCACCACCCGAGGGAGGGAGGGACTGTCCCTCGGTCCCCAGGGTACCCCAGAGCCCTGTCACCTCGAGAAACAAGGTAAGCACCTCGCTCCTCTGGTGTGGGGTTGGTGTGAGATACCTCAGACCTGAACCTCATCCAGCCCGTGCCGAACCCCAGCCTGTTTCCCCCTTCCTCCTGCTCCCCTCACAGCGGGCTCAGAGCGAGGGCTGCCTGTGGACAAATGCCTGGAGCTGCCCTCTGCTCGGGGCAGACACTGCGGGGAGATGCTGCTCCCCACAGGGACACCCCATCCTTAAAGCCCAGAGCAATGGTTTGCCCTCGCTGAGGTGGGAAGTTGGAGGTTGGAGTGGGTGGGAAGCTGCTCCCCTCAGGAGGGGGAAGAAGGGCTCTGTGCAGAGCCTGGGTGTTCTGCGCTGGAGGCAGCTCTCGCTGACAAGTCACAAGTGAGGAAATAAACTCTTAAAAGGTAGGCGGCAACAAAACCGGGGCAGCTTCGGGAGTGCAACAGCGGCATCTCCGCTGGCCCTGCCTGGGATCCGTGCAGCAGCACCCGGCCGTGTCCGTACGGGAGCCGAGCCCCGGGGCCGCGGAGCCTGGGTGGGAGCCGAGCCCCGGGGAAGGGTTCGCGCCGTGACCCCTGCGAGCGCAGCGCTTGCTGAGCAAACAGAAATCCAACCCCGGGGCCGGCTTTAATTCTCCCACTTCTCCTTCCTTAGCGATTCTCGCGGCCCGTGTCCCCGCAGCCCCCCGGCCCCGGGCGGCAGCTGCTGCGGAGCCCGCGGGCCCTAACACGAGCTCGGGACGGGGACAACTCGCCGCTTTCTCCCGCTGGCTCTCGGCTCTCCGGAAAGCCAAAATGGAGCAGTGGCGCTGCCGTGGGTGTGGGGAGGCCGGGAGGCTGCGCAGGGGGTGACTCATGAGCTGAGCACCGCAGCCGGGGCCGGCCCAGGGCGCTCCGGGGCTGCGCAGGCACGGCCACGAGAGGCTGGAGCCGGAGGCAGGGAGGAGACCTCCCCTCCTGGCTGGGCCTGAAAGCGAACACCAGGCACCTGGAGGAGTGGGGATGGGAGGAGGGCACTGATAAATGAAGCGGTGGATTAAGGTATCAGATGTTTCCTGCCGGGATTTAATGGCCTGGAGGACAGCGCATTGCGTGCAATAGAAGCGGGCAGGTCCCGCTCCGGGCCAGCCTGGCCGCTCCCCGGGAAGCCGCTCACGCCCCCGGGCTGCTCGGAGCTGCAGCTCCCGCCTCAGCGGAGCCGAGCATCCCCCGGCACACGCAGGGCAGGAACGGGCACCGCTCCGCGCTGGGCAGGACAAAAGCCTCACGGCAGGAAAGGCCTCGCACCAGGCGATGTTTCCCTTGTTCTGTCAGGTGCAGCGGGGTCAGGCCGGGCTGTCCCTCCCCTGTCCCTTGCCACCTCCCGCGGGTGAACACCTCCCACCCCTCCCCCTGCAGCCCTCATGCGCTCCTGTCTTCCCCTGACCGCCCTCTTTCGTGGAGGGAAAGAACAAAGCCGGAATTTATTTTAATTGTTTATTGTATAATATAAAACTACAAAAGTAAGACTGCTCATTTCCATGTACATTTGTCCAATTGTTTTTATGATTACAGCCCATACCTACATGTGAATACAGTAATCTGGTTTCAGATGTCTGTAATATTGCATAGAAAAGGCACAGCTCTAAGGTCTGTGGGAGGGGAAGGGGAAATACAGCCTTTTTTCTTTTTTTTTTCTTTTTTTTTCTTTTTTTTCTTTTTTTTTCTTATTTTTTTTTTACAATAACAAGCCCTGTTCAAACAACCATGCACTGAACATGTCACACTATTTACACCTTTTCCAGAATCTTGGCCTTTGTAGGCACTAGTATGGAATACGCTCAGAACTAGATAGGAGTTGAGGTTGGGATTTTGTCTGTAATTTGTGTTTTTAAAGAGATTCCAGAACTTGCATTAGTCTTATTTTCAGAAAAAGAAAAAAAGTGCTTAAAAAAGAACTAATTTATTTTAAAATGTTCAGTCTCATTAATTAATAGAATATTGAAAGCAACTTGCACAGAAGCAGGATACTGAAGCCTGACTGGGGAGTTGGGGGAGAAAAAGAAAAAAACCCAAACCAAAAGAAACCCTGTAACGAGAACAAAAAGTTCAAAACATGCCAGAATGAATTAAACCGTTTGTCAGACAGGACCCATTGCGATTTACTCAATTTAATAAAGTGTAAACGTGGGATTCAAAATGATCAGTTTTAAAATAACCCAGGCTCTTACCACGCGGCGCTGAGGAAAAACCGAATTACCTCGCCCAAGATCTGAACTTCTCCTGCCAGCGATTGCTCCAGCCGGTGGCAGCGCGGTGTTGCTCTCCCAGCTGGTGCCGGTGGATGCCCGGACAGACGGCGCTGCCAAGCCGCTCTCTCCGAGAGGGATGTTCCGCTTCCTTCGCTCCCAGGGCTCCGGAGAGGCTGCGGAGCCCCAGGCCCGGCTGGTCGGACACAGAGCCGGGGGTTTGGGCTCTAAGTCGGGCTGTCCTGCCCAGCCCCACCTCCGGGTGAGGAAGTGGCTCTGGCACAACTCCTGGGGCTGGAGGGAACATCCTGCCCCCTGCTATGGGCATCCAGCCCCAGGGACTTCTGCTGGGCCTCCCATGCGTGTTTAAAAAATAAGGAAAAAAAAAAATCATCTTTTCTAAACCTTTCCCAGGCCAGCAGGATGGAGATGATTGCATTTGCTCCTGCCTTCAGTGGCAGATTCCAGTAGCGTGCCAAGGGAGGCCCCTCTCAAGAAGCCAGTGGGGGGGTAGGAGCCTGATTAGGATTAATTTTGAACATAAACCTGTCCCTCCTCCATGCCTTTTTTTGCATATTTCAAACAACCAGATCCATATTAGAAAAAGAGTGTAGGGAAAAAAATAATCCTGTGATCCATGCATATCCTGACTGGAACTCAATTCATTCTTTCTGAATCTGGCTCCCATACCCTTTTTCATACAGATTTACATTCCTACAAGAGGATACATTCCTACCATACATTCTGTACATGTTACAATCCAGATGTTGTTAGCTTCACAATAAAATAAATATATTTACAGAAGAAAAAAAAAAAAAAAGAATAAATAATTTAAGAAAAAAAAAAAAATCACTTCAAATCCAAAGCTCTCTTATTCTGCTCCCATCTTGTCACTTCATTGCACGTTAATGTCAATCTCCATCCCTGGTGTAGGTCTCAGAGAAATTCCATGCATGGCTGCTGTTGGGACCACAGCACAGGCCCAGCTAGAGACAGTCAGTGACTGTGCAGGGGGACAGCCACAGCTCAGCCTGCATCAGCCTTCCCAACCTTCTGCTGAGTCCCACAAATCAAGCAGGTATTTGTCCTACAGGATTCCTGCAGGGATTCTGCCACAGGACCTGCGCTTCAGCACCAAGGAGCCACAGACACTGCCCGAGCGGTGAAGTGGATTTAGAGCTCGGCTCCTGCTCTCTGGGTACAAAAACTTCAACTGATTCCCCTTAAACAGCACAGATCTCTGAAAAGAGCACCGATGGGAGCATTTGCCTAGATGGTATTTATGCAGGTGTAAATATTTAAGTAATCCCAAAAAACAGGCGGCTCCAGCCGTGGTAAGGCAAGCGCCTACCAAGTTGCGGCGTGAACCTGGTGTTGCTCCAGGTTTGTGCGGGATTGTGTTCCCAGATACTCGAGGTGCAGGGACAGAAAGGCTGTGGGTTCTCCTGCAAGTGCTGAGGACTTGCTGTGGAACAAGGGCTGGGTGGGAGCTGGAGCTGCCCCCCCTCCTCCCCACCCTCCCTTCCCCTGGTCCCTAAAGCTACACTTGGTCAATGGTTCTCCGTTTGAAGCAGTAACTTCCTCTCTCTTTAGTCTGTGTAATGACTGCAAATCCATCAGCATCCCAGTGTTTCATGGAGTTTAGCTTGGGAAAAAGAAGAAAGCAAACCCACCCCCTGGGCCAGCGCTCCCCTCCTCCCCCAGACCTGTCTCTCCCTGGCAGGTGAACTGGGAGCCAGAAGCGCCTTCCGCAGCGTTACATGATGCATTTCATTTCCATTAGGAGTTCCTTCATTGCAAAAATGTATTTGCTCTCATCCTGTGTCTGTGTGCATATCTATGTTACATCTATCTATATACTAATAAATATATATGGCCTGTTTTAAAGTGCCAATTTATAAAAAGCTGCCTCCTTAAAAGGCAGGCAAGACCCAATTTCATCCATGACAAGAAGAGAGCAGAATTGACTGAATATTGCCAAATGACGTAAAACATAATTTAAAATTTCTTAAATAAATATAAAAGTTATTCCTAAAGAAGCCATAGGCATGTCAACAATATAGGTTGTAACCGGCACTCAACAACTAAAGTACCATTGGAAAACTAAAATGCCATAGCAACTTCAGCAATAGGCATGATACATTGCAAACATTTTTTTCTTTTTAAATTAAATGTACACCACAAAGAACTTAGGGAAAAAAAAAATAAAAAAAGCTATTGGTGCAGTAAGAAGACTTCTCAGGTGTTACGAGGGAGGGGACCATGCATAGAAAGCTGTGTCTGTATATTCCTTGTAAAACGGGTCTATAAAGTGTAAAGCAGGTAACACAGTTGATACAAGAACCCAACTCTGTACGAGATGCCAAGTGATGTCACACGACTGGCTCCAGTTTCAACAGCAATGGATATTAAAGCAAGTCCATCCAGTGCAGGTACGAGATGAGCTTCACTGCAGTAATACTGAAGCTGCCTTTTTCAGCACTTAGCACAGTGAGGTGGGAGAGGGAAGGAGAAATGCTCCAAGAAAGGGCGAGCGGACGCTCCCAGCCCCGCTCTCTGCCCGCGCCCGTCAGTCGGGGAGATGCCAGGGAGGCTCTCGGTGGGCTCTGGGCTCGTGGCTCCCCCTCACACCATTCCCAGGAGCTCCGGGTGAGGAGGTGCCGATCTCCGCCGGGTTAAGGCTCCACGTCAGGCGGGATGGGGGCCTGGCAAGGCGGGCGGGCTCGGGGACAGCGGCCGGCCCCGGGGCGGGAGCTGCGGCCGCGGCAGCGCTCAGGACCTCCAGGAGTGAAGTTCCACAACTGTTTCCTGCCAACTGCTTCACATACGTGTTGGAAAAGGACATGGCTCTAAGTTTCAGGAATCACAGTAGTGCGCAGTGGGTACAGCAGGGAGCAAACACTTGTGAAACTCCGACAGAAGCAGCTCCCAGCCCTTTCTTAAAGCACTTTTTCTTTTTTTTTGTTTGCATTCAGGGAAACCGACTGCAGGCTTATTTGATCCAATTTTCTCTTTGCACCATACACATATAAAACATTACAACTCTGTATAAAAGTACAAGTGGTTCTTGTACATCTGAATTATGCAGGAACTATGTGAGCAAATCCTATCAAAATAGCTATTTTTTGTGTGTATAAACAGCATTTGTTTTTAGAAAAAACAATACCATAAACTGCAGAATCTGTACAAAAATATAAAATAAATTTGGGCAGCAGTTTCTAAACAGCCATGTAAATGCAACACTTAAAGAGGAGCAGGTTAATGCCTCCAAAAGGCTGAATTGCTAAAGTCAACCTATACAGGGCTAAAATGGTATTGAGATTATCTAAATAATAAAATTTTTTACCTCTTGCAATAAAACTTATAGAAAAAATAGACAAGTATGCACATGCAATTTACAGCTTTCCCCAACATAATCCTTGTGCTTAGCTTTTACCTTTTTTTTTTTCCTTTTTTCTTTCTTCTTTTTTTTTTTTCCTTTTTTTTTTTTTTTTTTTTTTTTGTAATAACATAACATTGTCTACAATACATATTCTTTCCTATACCAGGATATTCGGTCTTCCTTGAGGAACCACTTTAAAAAAAATACATTAGAAGTGGTCATACATGGATGAAGGCACTCCAACTCTGCTCGAAGCAAAAACTAGTGTGATCCTTTTCTTTTCAAAAAAGGCAAGCAAGGATGCATGCACAGTGCTGTGAATCGGGGCTGGGAGGGACTATGGAAATACTACCGAGTGTATATACTGGTACTTAAAATAAAATTAAAAAAAAATTCCAACAAAAGAAAAAAAAAAAGTTGCTATATTTCTAATATTTTTTTTAAGACCCAACAAGCACCTCCATGATGTGATCCAGTTCTGTGAGATCCATTTTGAAAGGCTGATTTGGAGTTACTGGTTGACTGCTGTACGGAGCGAGAGTCTTTAGGAGCTCATCTGCTGAGACAGGAGCCATTTTTGAGGCAGCCCCCGTGGCAGACGTGCAGGGGTCAAAATCATACATGGACGTATCAATGTCAGCGAACAGAATGTCATCCAGGGTCAAGTCTGTGAGGAAACCTGTGGAAGCTGTTATCTCAAAGTTGCCAGGCAGGGGGTCCATGAGTTTGGGCTCAGCCGTTCTGCTCTCCGGGAGGCCCTCGGGCTTGTGAATGTTGGACTCGCTGGGCTGGGCTTTAGAGTCGTCGGCTGCTGATTCAGCTGCTACTGCCTCTGCGGAGGTAGGTGCTGGACAAAGCTCCTCGATTTCGTCCAAGGCTGAGGAGAAGCTGTCCTTTACTGGTTGGAGAGCAGGAGGTGGCGGCTTCGTCGGACCATCATGCTGGACAGCCGGGGAAGTGCAAAAAGTGTCGTCCTCGAGCAAAGAGGCCGGGGTGAGGCAGGACTCCAGGGGCATAGTGCTTACCAAGTCGGCGGGGAGCAGGGGCGGCGAGGCCAGGTGGCTGAACGCCGGCTGCGCCTCGCGGAAGTTGTCGCTGAGAGGGTCGGCAGGCTGCGAAGCGGCCACAAACATGGGCCTCAAGCTGCCTTCTTGTTTGAGTTCTTCCTGGATCCGCCTCAACATGTTGTTAATTAAAACTGTCTTTTGCAAGCTTGGCTCGGTTAATGGCCTGTGGTTATAAAGTTTCATAAGGGAAATGTTGAAGATAGTCTGACGCTGTAAGGTGTAAGACACCTTAGAGGGACCGTCAGTGGGAGACACCACTTTGCCTTCCAACCCATCTTCATGCTCGTCAAACTTCCGCTTTCCTCCTTTCCCCAACATATATCTGCAAGGGAAGAGAGGAGACTGATGAAGGCAGCAAAGCAGGTGCACATCTGTCCCCATCAACAGCTCGGCCTCGGCCCACGGCAGTGTGACGAGCAAGCAACAGCCACCCTAATGCAGGGCTCTGGTCCATCCCTGTTTAGGCATGGCTGTGCTGGTAAATGCCAAGCAGGAATTCAGACAGCATCTATAATACTCAAGAGCTGGCATGCTTGGCAGCAAATTCCCTCTTCCTTACATCGAGCAAATACCTGTCCATAGGAGCACAAGCCACAGGCTCTGTACTGAACGTTTCCTTACATTCCCTGACTGAGGCAGTGCTATGCCTGGGAATACAAATGTAAAGCACTGAGGTTCTCACAATGAATTTCCTCTTTTTCACGGGGGAAGGGAAGTGAGGCTCAGGCAATTGTGTGTTGAGAGAAACCTCCCCAGTGAGGTTGGGAGATCCAGCCCTTTGGTACACCAGGATATAGACATATGGGTTTATTTAGCTGATCACCTAAGGACTAAACTATCATCGCAGGAAATGCAGTTATTATTCTCAGAATTAGATAAATTACAGATGAAGAAGATCTGTCAAGTCTTTTAGTCTAAATCCCCAAGACCACTCTGCACTATACTCTTCTGCTGGTCAGATGGCAGATTTTGAAGGAAACAAAGGGGATTTTATCAAACTCATCCCGCATTATAAATAATTTCTGAGCTAAGATAAAGTGGGGCAGTTTAGTCCCCAGTGCCATCTCTTCCAGGATGTTTCAGAGCACCTGGAAATGCTCCTCTACACAGCACAGTCCCAACCTCATTTTGTCACCATTATTTTTGTGACACAGAGATCCCCCAAACACAGAGGAATGAAGGAGTCACTGAGCTGTGACAGTAGCACGACCTAACGTTATGCTATCTCATTTTCCCAGGTAGAGTGGTGAGGTGCTGGAGCTCTAACCTGCTCACTCTTTCAATATGATCACAAGCAGCTCCCTGTTCATTCCTGTATCCCTCCCTCCGTTTAACAAATTCTTCTGGCACGAAGAATTCTGCCTTATTTAAAGAGGCGGGGGGGGAAAGGGGGGGAAAAAGAAAAGTGGAAGAGGGTTTCTAGCCACAGGTATTCAGAAAGGAGTTGCAACAGCCGTTCAGATTTTCACCCCAGACATGACCCTTCTCACATTATGCAGCAGTCATCTGGGAGACAAAATTTGCCTTCCTTACTTGAGTACAATTCCCAGTCCTCCTAGTGGGATTAGTACCTGCAAAATGACTGCAAGTAGGCAGGTCTAACACAGTTTGATGATCACACACCAGTTCAGCAGACAGACAACGTAGTTAAACATCACCAAAAAATGACTGACAAACATTTAAGAGCAAAGAAATCCTTGGAAAGCAGAAGAGGGGGGAGAAGAAGTCAGGGTTTCAGTGCTACAAGAAAGCATTTGCATGGTGGTAAGTCCGAAACCAGTTTGGGTGAAGTGAGCCTCTTCTGGTTAAAAGTAAATCCCAAATCCAGATAATTTTCTAGCATATTATGCAATTAATAAAAGAAAGGCGGGGGGAGGGAGCAGGCTGAGCAGAGCTGAGGAACAGGTAGGCTGCCATCCAAGCTCCTTGGCCAGCTACCAGCAATTCCTGCGCCTGGAATCTCGGGTGAACAAAACCTCTGAAATTTAGCACTACTGCCGAAGTCTGGTTTTTCTCTGCTCCCTAGTGTCACTTCCATGGACTGCTCCAGAGCTGTGCACATGGGTTTGGGGTGCGAGCGGGGGGCTTTGCTATTGCAGTGTTCACAGTAGACACAATTCCTTTCCCTTCAGACAGATAAGAGCAAGAAAGGGAGGATCGGGCTAGCAAGAATTAAAAACCCTGCCCAATTCCAGCACGTTTTTAAAGCAGCAAGGGGTTAGGAGGAGAGTTAGCAGCTTTCTGTCCCTTCCTGTTATCTCCTCCCCCTGAAAAAAGACAGACTCTGTCCTAAAGACATACCAGCGCTCCTTCCACAGTGCTCTATTTAAAGAAGACATTTTTAAATGGCTTGGGGACTAGAAGAGTTTGAAGTTTGTCAGCCTCTGCCAGGAATGTATAAAAACATTCACTGCACAAAGCAAACCTTTTCCCCCATGATAAAGAAAACAGCCCAGGCTCCGTTCCCTGTGCTCAGTTATTCATCATTGCCAGGTGACGCTGCCAAGCATTTCCACCGGGCCCTTTTCCACCCAAAACTGAGGTGCTGGTAGCGAACACATTTTTAAAGCTGATCAGTAAGAACTATGGGATCATCACTAAGTAAATACTATGATAACCTCACTACGTCATTTTCCAGGAAGCTCAGAGATGATTCAAGATTTCCTGTATGTGTGGCCGTCAAGCTTTTGCATCTCACTCGATCTTCACATAGCTTGATTCAGAGCTTGCCCTTTTAAAAGACAAAACAGATCAGGCAACTCCAAATCTCACCTCCTGGCTTTTCAGCACAGCTTTCAGTTTCCTTTTTCCCCACTGATACTCTCTGAAGAGGGTTTAACCCTAAAACACCAAAGCAGGATGTCAGCCTAAGCACGGGGGTTTTATTCCACCAAGGAGAGGGCTCAAATAGGCACTGCTAGACTCTCAGCTTTATAAAGTTTTATTTTATCCCCTTCTCCTCTGGCGTGCCAACGGGAATTGTAAAGAATGTTTTCCTCCAGGTTCCATAAATCACTTCATTCATGCCAAGCGAAGCAAGGAGGTGATATCTTTTTAGACCAGCTGATAAGAGTTGGTAAAACCAGACATGCTTGGGGGCTTGAAAGTCTTTCTCTCGCTCTTCATAAAGGAATTTCATAGTTTCTGACCACTGAAGCTTAAGACAATGTTGCCTACTTGTTCTTTACAGCTCAAGCCATCTCTACCCTCCTTCAACCAACCCATTTCATGCCTGCATTACAGGGATCTGTATGTCTTAAGACACTGAAAAACAATTTTTTTTTTAAAAAAAGGACGCTGTACAAGACCAACATTTGATCTGAATCAGTTCCGTTCATCTCAAAAACTTTGCTCCTAGCCTTTCCAGCCAAACCTCCTGCTGGAAAAACAGAAATTCCAAACTTAAAAATCAGCTTGACCAAAGATCCCTACAAAATGAGACAAACACCTTTCCAGGTGTCAAAAGAGAGTTGTCCATCCAAGTCATACAGCTGTGACAGGGGCAGCCAGACCAACACCAAGCCACCCAAATATGGCGCTGCACAGGCAGAGACAAAGGGTAACGCTCATGGAAGATCTTTCACGCATCTATTTTGGCCGAGCAGCAACCTCAGCCAAATGTATTTCTGCTGCATTTTCACCCATTTGCTGAGCACAATTTTGAGTCTGGGTGTTAAGAGTTGAGACTGGACATCACTTTGCTGTTGTTGTAATAAAGGGTGTTGCAGGTTTTGGCCTGCCAGTGAGTTTTCAATGTTTCTTAGGTATGTGGAACCAGAAAGCTGAAGAAAGACAATGGAAAAATCTGCATCTTTCTGGGGGTTGGGGCAGAGGGAGTTACTTGGAGATCTTCTCCAATATTATCTACCAGTTGGCTCCAGCTCTGGAAGACCTAGAACCAAAAGCTAAACCATTGTTGCTGAGAAAGATTCTACTTGCTTTTTTGCCCATTTAGGGCGATCGCACGCGCCTCAGCACCAGAGAAACCCTAGCATTGTTTGGGAGTTGTCTTTTCTTAATTGAAAAACAAAAGTAGTATATTTTTTTTTTTCTCATTTGCTGTCATTTAGCTTTCTTTTATTGGCTCTGCATGCTCTTCAGACAGAACTGGAAAAAAATGGAGTTGGGGCTCAGTGGAAAAGATAATCAGCCTGGAGCGGATGGTTCTCTGGAGTCAACCCTCATCGATTAAACACAGAAGAGCTTGTGCAGTGCCTGTGTCTCTGAGCCCACTTAGCAATGAATCCTTTACTCTTCGGAGGACAGAGGTGTGTGTAGATTGTGAGAGGAGCACTGTGTTTATTGGCTGTGCTTTGGACACTTCAA